ATAGCAGATTGAATGTGAGAGAATACTTGTTCAACGCACTACCAGGGAGATAAATTTGGTTTGGTAGAGTTTTGGTGATATGGAAGAAATGGAAGTCATTACCATGTTATTAATTAGTGGCAACCATTATGTGAATGTGATCTGGAGATTCTCTTCATGGATATGCACAAATTATTTATAGTATCATCAGCCTCGATTAATTTCCCATTGATCAAGGATTGGCAATTGACATGGGGGGAGAGTAATAGGGTAGCGTACAATAAACATGCATTAGCAGCTAGCCGGTTATCTGCTGTTTGTTATAAGACTCAGTGTTGGCCATTTTCTTTTTTCCCAGAAAAGAAACAGAGAAGAAAGTAGAAAAAAGACTTGTTTTAGTTTAATGTATCATCAACCACTCATTGCAACGTAAAATCTTTTACATTTGGGAGCTTACGATTTGCTACAACAAAAAAATACAAAATTTAATAATGGCACTTGTTAAGGATTTTTAACTACACAACCATCAGGATGTCAACCGAGGGCTTCAGTCCAACAATCAATTTGATGCTTACGTCCACATATTCAATCTGTTCTACCACAATATTATTCTGTTGTCTAGTCGGTTTTATAGTTTGCTCAACAAGTTTAGATTAGTTAATTCACTGGATCTAGGTGGAGAAGGAATCTTGAAGATAGCAGAGGGGTCGTAGATCCTTATGGATATTGCAGATACTGTTGATTAATGGAGCAGATACTGACTAATATTCTAGATGATGTAATGATTATATTAATTTATATATGCTTTGTATATTACCTAGTTTAGATAATTATATAATTATTATTTATTTTTTTCATAATCAAGGATAAAGTTAACTAGCATATTGATAATTGATTCACTTCTATAAATACTTGTAACCCCGTCAATCGTCGTCATTCATAATGTGACGAACTTTCTAGACAATCCAACTGCTAAGGAAAACAAAGGTGAAGATATCCACCTTCTTACAAGTTCAGTGCCAAAAAGTGCCTTAATTAATCCACTCTGGCATAGCACCTCGTTTCGTTACATCTTCTCGATTGATTTCTTTCATTGAAATTATTGCGAAAGGAGAACTTTTCCGGTTTTCCTTTCTGCTTTCAGTTCGGGTGCCGAAGACCCAAAATCTTGCAAATTGAATTGCTGATAATTTCAACACAAGTCCACAACATCAAAACCCTAATCTTTAATAGAACAAAAACAGAGAGAATACTAAGGAGATCGTTTGGTACCGTTCGGCAGGCGTTAAGAGAGAGAGGGGGGAAGGTTTTGTAGTGTATTGTCGCTGGTATTGTTCGACTAGAGGCCGCGCGCCAGCCCGTAATCTTGGACCGGAATGTCCTAACCCAGGGCAAAATGCCATAAAACAAAACAAAGGAAAACGGAAGGGGAGAGATGGGAGATTTCAGTGGAAAGTCACGGTAAGGAAATCACGCGTGACTGCTAAGCTGACGCGATCGGGAATTCTACTCAATTTAAAATTGGGCTAGATGGGCCAGTTTTAACTTTAAGTGGGCTCTGTTCTTAATTAACTCCAAGCCCGTATTTGTAAGGCCTTTAAAGTCTCTATGCGTGCACCCTCTCATAGAAGCAAAAAAGTATCTAACGATAAATTTCGTTCACGGATTCCTACTTTCATAACGATTAAAATTAAGCTAGGAAACCATTTCAGGGTTGGGAAATTATATGGGGGGGGGAAAAAAACGTTTACAAGAATTCTGATTAGAAATTACGTAATTCTTTACCTATCAAAATGAGATAGACCTTTGTTATAAATTGATTGGAGAACAGTCATGTATTCTGGGGCAACTAGATTAGCAATAACAAATTATGGACTGAACACAAGGACAAGGTGAGATGGTTCCCAAAAATAGGTGTTAGGTTCTTCTTACGTGGATGGTTCAATTTGGAAAGGGATGAATAAGAGCTTGCAAGAGGCATTTTCAAGACTTGAATGCTCTTATGGTAATTTCTTTTATCATTTTTTTCCCCCCGAAAGCTTATAGCTTGTGGACATTTTTTGTTCTATTTAACAATAGCAGTTGAGGTAACTTGACATGAAATTTTATGTACACAGGCTGTTGCACTGGTTAGATTATGTGAGAAGTGAATATTTGACTGAATGTCTAGCTTTGTAACAGGACTGCAATAGCTATGTTTTGACTTATGTATAGTGTGTTGAGTTAAGCTGTTGTTGTTTTATAGCTCTGGTTTTGGCTGCGGCTTTATGTTCTGAGGTGTAAGGAGGCTAAAGAGTTATGGTCATGCTAGCAGAGAAGGTGAGGCAGAGGCTTTTGCCAGGCTCGAGCTCTCAAAGTAGTCTTGGGGATGACGAGGAAATGGATTCCAAAGAAGAGATGGAAGATTGGCTGTTGAGTGGTGGTATCATATCTCCAGTAGCAAAAGAGTCTGCA